GCATGAAGTCTTCAGCCCTTCCAGGCCTATCATCCCTCAAGGCGCAAACGGAGGCTTGCGAAAATAAGGGACCCCGAATATAGACCCCAAATAGCAGGATCCCCTTAAAATAAGGACCCCAAGAAGGTACCCTTAATGCCGTAAACCCCCTTTACCCTAAACCCTAAACCCTAAACCCTAAACCCTAAACCCTAAACCCCAAACCCCCCCAAATGAAGATTTCTGTGCGCTGCGCAGCCTGGCATGGTCCGGCCTGCTCCCAACCGGACCGGCATGGCGGGTGGCGTGAGGCGTGGTCAGCGTTTAGGGTTTAGGGTTTAGGGTTTAGGGTTTAGGGTTACGGGGAGTGGGCTTAGTGGCTTTAGAGTTTGGGCCTCAGGGCAGTCTTGAGCCCTGATGCCGAGGTGAAGGTTGGTGAATCTGAGGGTTTACGAAAATAGGGGAGCCCCAATATAGATCCCCTAATAGTAGGATCCCGTGAAAATAAGGACCCCAGAAAGGTACCTCTAATTTCGGAAAAAACCCTAAACCCTAAACCCTAAACCCTAAACCCTAAACCCTAAACCCTAAACCCTAAACCCTAAACCCTAAACCCTAAACCCTAAACCCTAAACCTCTCTATCATAATGAATTTAAACCCTAATTCAAAAAGTGGGCAACGGTGATTTTCGGCCTCAAAAGTGGGCAACGGTGACTTTCCTGGCCTCAAAAGTGGGCAACGGTGACTTTCCTGGCCTCAAAAGTTGGCAACGGTGACTTTCCTGGCCTCAAAAGTGGGCAACGGTGATTTTCCTGGCCTCAAAAGTGGGCAACGGTGACTTTCCTGGCCTCAAAAGTGGGCAACGGTGACTTTCCGGGCCTCAAAAGTGGGCAACGGTGACTTTCCGGGCCTCAAAAGTGGGCAACGGTGACTTTCCTGGCCTCAAAAGTGGGCAACGGTGACTTTCCTGGCCTCAAAAGTGGGCAACGGTGACTTTCGGCCTCAAAAGTGGGCAACGGTGACTTTCCGGGCCTCAAAAGTGGGCAACGGTGACTTTCCTGGCCTCAAAAGTGGGCAACGGTGAATTTCGGCTTCAAAAGTGGGCAATGGTGAATTTCCTTTTCCCCGAGTTTTTTCAAGGTTTTTCAAGGTTTTTCAGCGTTTTTTAATGTTTTTCAAGGTTTTTCAATGTTTTTCAGGATGTTTCAAGGCTTTTAACCCTCAATTCTGATGAAGGGCCGCCCCCGCGACTTTCTTCACAGCCTAGTTTTGGTCAAGGGGGGGTCGTATTTTTCAATTTCAAAGGCAAAATAGTCTTCGGAGACCCGCCCTTGCCTCAAACTTCGACCCCCCCTTGAGAGGGAATGTTTGCCTCAAAAACACCTAAATGAGGGGGACTCAGGATCGGCCGGGGCCCCAGTTAAAAATGCGCTCTTTTAGGACGGTTTTGGGTGGGCTCTCGTTTTCTGGATTTTTGACCAAACCGAGCCTTCACCGTTTCAAGAATTTCAAGTTTTTCAAGGTTTTTCAAGGTTTTTCAAGGTTTTTCAAGGTTTTTCAAGGTTTTTCAAGGTTTTTTAGAATCTTTCAATGTTTCAGTTCTGACCTTTTCACAGCCTAGTTTTGGTCAAGGGGGGGTCGCATTTTTCAATCTTAAACGCAAAATAGTCTTCGGAGACCCCCCCTGGCCTCAAACTCCGACCCCCCCTTGGGAGGGAAAGTTTGCCTCCAAAAACACCCCAAATGAGGGGGACCCCAGGATCGGCCCGGGTCCCTATTAAAAATGCGATTTTTTAGTACTGAGATCGACGGTTCTGGGTGGCCTCTCGTTTTCTGGGTTTTGGACCACGAGCCTTCGCCGATAGGGGCTTCTAAACCGTAGGGTTTAGGGCCCTAAGAGCATAAAGGGCCCGTTGTGGGTTTTGGGTCCGTTAAAAACTAACTACTGGGAATGTATTGAGTGAACTTTGTATTTTCTCAATGTTATGGGTTTCTTGGGTGGGTGGGTTATTTTCCAACGCTTGACAAGCTGCTTGACTAGTGAATGCTCGGACTTGAGATGCTGAACCCTAAACCCTAAACCCTAAACCCTAAACCCTAAACCCTAAACCCTAAACCCTAAACCCTAAACCCTAAACCCTAAACCCTAAACCCTAAACCCTAAACCCTAAACCCTAAACCCTAAACCCGAAACCCGAAACCCGAAACCCGAAACCCTAAACCCTAAACCCTAAACCCTAAACCCTAAACCCTAACCCCCCAAACCCTAACCCCCCAAACCCTAAATCCTATGTCAAAATCCATTGGGCTTGAACCCACAACCCGCAACGGCCCGAATGCAATACCTCCTAAAGCCCCGCAGGCCCTTCAAACCCAAAACGCACCCGAAGTCCCTTGTGGGCAGTTCTCGAAATTCGGGTCCTTTTTGGGGGTTCTAGTTCTCTAAATTAGGGTCCCTTTCTGGTTTCCTCGGTAGTTCTCTAAGTTAGGGTCCTTTTTTTGGGGTTCTTACGAACAGGACCCCCCCCCCCCTCCCCCAAAAGGGACCCCAATTTAGAGAACTAGCCTTGCGCTGCCCCCGAAGAGCTCGAAAGCCCCTTCTTGGACTTTGCAAAGCGTCGCAGGCCGCCAGCTGCAGGCGCTCTCCGGCTCGTCGGTTTAGGGTTTAGGGTTTAGGGTTTCGGGGTTTAGGGTTTCGGGTTTCGGGTTTAGGGCTTAGGGCTTAGGGTTTCGAGTTGCGGGTTTAGGGTTTCGGGTTTGGGGCTACCTCACCCACAAAGGCTCTAAACCCCCCCCCCTCCCCCGCGTGCAACCCGCAAGAGTTATGTTGGAAGAGCCTCAGAAGGCAGCAGCACCGGGCCCCTCAATCCCAGACCCTAAATCCTTGAAGCTTGCGCCTGAACTATAAACCCTACACCCTAAACCTAAACCCTAAACCCTAAATCCTAAACCCTAAGCCCTAAACCCCAAACCCCAAACCCCAACACCCTAAACCCTAAACCCTAAACGCTAAACCCCAAACCCTAAACCCTAAACCCTAAACCCGCATAACCCTTACTCAGAGTGGACGCTGCCGACAGGTGCAGCCCGACCTGCCCAGAAAGTCGACACCTCGGACGCGCGTGGTGCTGGGCGTTTAGTCAACCTAATATAGGGATCGGGTTTAGGGTTTAGGGTTTAGGGTTTAGGGTTTAGGGTGAATGATTGCAAATGGTATTCCCTTTTGGTCCCTTGGCAATCATACTAATAACCCCCAAAACCCTATTCTAGTTATTCAGGCCTCGAAAGGACTTGTGCTGGGGCTCAAGGATTTAAGTTGGGAGGTTCCCCCTTATACTAACAGTCCTTAGTAGGGCTTATAAGAAGGGCTTCTATAATCCCTACTAAGGAGCTGTTAGAATAAGGGCGAGCATCGCAAAGTTTGAGGGTTGAAGGTTCGGGGGCATGGGCCTTAGAGAGAGTTTAAGCATAGAGGCCGAGTTGTCTGTGTAGGAGGGGGCGGGTTTGGAGGAACCCCGGCAAGTTCAGAAGATCAAGTCTTGCAAAAAATGTTTATTCTTTCTGTTTCAACCAAAACAAAGGATTGCAAGGTGGTGGGGGGGGCCATGAGCTTTCGATTTTTCCTCTTCTTGTCCTCTCAAAACCCGAAACCCGAAACCCCACACCCCAAACCCTAAACCCCAAACCCCAAACCCCAAACCCCAAACCCTAAACCCTAAACCCTAAGCCCTAAACCCTAAACCCTAAACGCTAAACCCTAAACCCTAAACCCTAAACCGCGAGGTTGCTGTCCAGTCTGGCGTCCGCCCGCCGGCGCAGGGAGGCTCGGTCGGCACCCTTAAACGACCTGAACCCTGCGGCAAACCGTAAACCTCAGTAAGCCGGTTTAGGGTTTAGGGTTTAGGGTTAAGGGTTTAGGGTTTTGGTTTAAAGCCTGTAAAGTCCCCTGAAACTCTCAACCATCTAAACCCTTAAGACCCGACATTCACTCAAAGCTCCGAAAGCCCCTAAAAAGTCCCCTGGAGAGCCAAAGCCCGTCAACTGCCAGGCACATGGGGTGGCTTCAACATCAGCTACCCCCCAAGTAATATTGGGGTCGGAATAATTACTAAGAGTATTCCTTATGGTGCCCTGAATAAATGTACTAGACAACTTCCCCAAAACCCTATTGTAATTACTTAATAGGCCCCTATAGTATCTCCAAGTGTCTTTTTGCAGTTTTTGTCGGCTCTGTTTGCCCTCTCGCCCTCTGCGCCGGCCGCACAGTCGCACCCTGCCAAAGAACGGCCGGGGGGCCTGGTGTCGGAGTTCAAGATCCACGGCTTAGGGTTTAGGGTTTAGGGCAGTTTAGGGTTTAGGGTTTAGGGTTTAGGGTTTAGGGTTTAGGGTTTAGGGTTTAGAGGTGATGTGCAAGCCTTGGGGTAAGTTGCAAGGTTGTGCGCAAGGTCGGGTTCCCGGGTTCAGGGCCTCTGGGGAAGTCAGGATTGAAGTTGAACCCTAAACCCTAAACCCTAAACCCTAAACCCTAAACCCTAAACCCTAAACCCTAAACCCTAAACCCTAAACCCTAAACCCTAAACCCTAAACCCTAAACCCTAAACCCTAAACCCTAAACCTAACCCTAAACCCTAAACCCTAAACCCTAAACCCTAAACCCTAAACCCTAAACCCTAAACCCTAAACCCTAAACCCTAAACCCTAAACCCTAAACCCTAAACCCTAAACCCTAAACCCTAAACCCTAAACCCTAAACCCTGAACCCTAAACCCTAAACAGGCTCTTCGCCGTCCCCTTTGCTTGGGGGGCTGTGGGCGTGTTCCTTTCAGCCCCTTACACCCTCCTGAACTTGCAACAGCTCCGAAGAAGCCTCTAAACCGTCTAAAAACCCTCTAACACCCCATCAAAAACCCGATAAGACCTAGAAAAAACCCGACTAGATCCCCTATGAAACTATGAAACCTCGGTAAAACAACTAGAAATTCCTACAAAACCCGAAAACTCTCAACCCTTCCAGGCCAAGATGCCTCGATTGTTCGCCTCCCTGCTGCTCCTCGCCGCCGCCCTGGCGGCCGAGACCAACAGCGTTCCACAGGCCCGTGGAGCGCCCGAGGGTTTAGGGTTTAGGGTTTAGGGTTTAGGGTTTGGGGTTTAGGGTTTGGGGTTTAGGGTTTGGGGTTTAGGGTTTGGGGTTTAGGGTTTAGGGTTGAAGGTCCAAGCATCATAATGCCGTTTCGTGGGGGCCTCTGCGTGTAGAACGTAAGAACAGGCTCACCACATCCTCTATAGAACCTCAAAAGTCCTATAACGCAATTTCTGAAGCGCATTTTCGCGGGGGAGGAGGGGGGGGGAAACACCAAACACTGACAGCACTGATTCGCCAAGCGCTCCAAAGTGTGTTGCGAGATAGTTGAGGCCCCAAGCCTACGGAGGTCAAAGGTTT